CAGCACCTGCAGTGATCCAATAGGTTCTTACAAAAAACAGAACATACAGAGCTAAGGAAACAGTTCAGAGGTACTGGCTTTCCTTCCAGAGAACCCTGGTTTGACTCCCAACACCTAGATGGAAGCTAACAGCAGTCAGCAACTCAGCTCCAAGTCATCTGATGCCTCCTTCTGGCCTCCCCAGGAACTGTAGGCACATGTAAGATAAACAGAAAAATGCCCATACACATAAAATAAACTTGACTTAATCCCAGCACTCGGGAGGCAGAGTTCTGGGGCCAGCATGGTCTACAAAGTGACTTCCAGGATGGCCAGAGCTGTTACACAGAGAAATCCTGTGTAAATAAATAAATAAAACGAACAAGAACCAAACCAACAAAATAACCCAAATAAAAAAAGTTGAAAAACAAACAAACACACAAAACAAAACAAAAAAACACACATTCAATTGTGTCTGAAATTGGAGAGGCCTGGGGGATCAGCTCAATCCTTCAATCAGGGTATTTCTCAACTTTCCTTTTCTCTCCCCTGACCCCCACCCCTTTGAGGCAGGTTCTCACTGTGTAGCCCTGGCTGTCCTGGAATTCACAGCAATCCTGCCCCTGCCTCCCAAGCACTGAGATGACAGGCATCTGCTACTGAGCAGTTCAAGCTTTGTTGTTTTCTGGCTTCATGCATGCTAGACAAGCACTCACCACTGAGCTCTACCTTATCTCTAGTCTGAGAAACACTGCTCAGGTGACATTTTCACTTCAATAAATAAAAGGCTCAGGAGAGGCAGAGGCAGGAAGGCTGCTGAAGGCCAGACTGAGCCACAGAAAGAATCGACCCCAGGGTGTGTGTGTGTGTAAAAGGTAAATCCTAAAACTTGGGAGGCTCAGGCAATATCAATTACCAGACTGAGCTACATGGCTGAACATCTCCTGCCCCACCCCAAGTATATGCAACTAAGCTTATTTGTATATAGCAACCTTCTGCACCTTTTTTTGTGGGGTGGGGTGGGGTAGGAGAGACAGAGGCTCACTATGTAGCCCTTCGCCGGCCTGAAATTCATGAAAATCTGCCTGCCTCTGCCTTCCAAATGCTAGATGCTAGACTTAAAGGCAAGCCTTAAAACACACAGTTCCCTTGTGAATCACATCTCAAAGCTATTATCAAAATGAACACACATACCTTTTCCATATGAAACACTTTTCCTTCAATTGACAATACTCACAATTTGACTTTATTAGTGTTTTTAATCTTGGCCATCTAAATCTAAGTATCCTTGCAATGCAACAAATACTCTGTACAGGATGGGATTTGCAAAGGTGATTTGTATACATGTAACTAAAGCCTTTGAAACTGTTTAACTATAAAGATCAGCACTTTATAAAAGCAACCATTTAACACCATTTTCTCACTATAAATCCAAAGAAATACCTCACAGCACAATGAGTGTTATGTTAAAGTTCTAAGCACATCTTACATACACTAGCTACATTTTTAATGTAACTTATATCAAATTATAATATAAAAATATTATGATTCCTATTGCCAAGAGATCTGCAGGTAAACTATGTCTATTTATAAATGAAGAAACTCACACTAGGTAAAGAGGCAGCCCACTTTAACAACTCGAATAGCCACAATAAAAACTTAAAAAAAGCCGGGCAGTGGTGGCGCACGCCTTTAATCCCAGCACTCGGGAGGCAGAGCCAGGCGGATCTCTGTGAGTTCGAGGCCAGCCTGGTCTCCAAAGCGAGTTCCAGGAAAGGCGCAAAACCATGTCTTGAAAAAAAAAAAAAAAAACACCCAAAACCAAACAAAAAAACCCCCCAAAAACTTTAAAAAAATAAAATAAAATAAAATAAAGAGAAAAGTCCTTTTCTCTGAGGCAGAATCTCACTGTATTCAGGCTAGTCTGGAACTCATGGCAATCCTCCAGTCTCAACCTCCTGAGTGCTGGGATGACAAAGGTAAGCAGCCATATTCAGCTAAAATTTCATAGATTGAAGTTTTTTTTTTTTTTTTAAATGACATTCCCACCTTGGCTCAAGTTTCCTAGAAACTTAAACAGTCTCATTTGTCAGTCAGCTCTGAGACACTAAGACAGTGAAGGTCAGCAAGGGGTCACATGGAAACTGGTATTGCCTCAATAACTTTTTTTTTGGTTTTTTCGAGAGGGTTTCTCTGTATAGCTTTGCACCTTTCCTAGAACTCACTTTGGAGACCAGGCTGGCCTTGAACTCACAGAGATCCACCTGTCTCTGCTTCCTGAGTGCTGGGATTAAGGTGCCTCAGAAACTTTTGGTCTGGTATTTTCAGAGAACTCAAGACCCATTTCCAGCTCTGGGTATTCTGGCCACTTAAAGTTCGTGTAATTGGAAGAAATGTGGTCAATTCCAAACTCTTGAAAGGCCAGAGGTAAATTTGTGCTGAGCTAACAAATAAGTTACATTTCCTGAGCTGAATTTAAAGAGGGGGTCTCCCTGGGAGGGTAACATAGATATGGAAGAAAAAGGGGTAGAGATATTATTACTAGGCAAACCTTTTAAAGAGTTCGAATTGCACACGAATACAACGAAAGACAGCTTACTGTGATGTCTTCTTCTAACTTCTGACTACTGTTTGATAGCACACAGGTAGAGGACAACTTGCAGGAATCTGGAGTCTGCTCTGGCCTCCACTATGTGGATTCTGGGAACTAAACTCAACCTGTCAGCCTTGGCAGCAAGTGCCCCTGGCCTGCGCCATATCCTCAGTTCAGCTATGTCATCCACAACCAAGAATTTCCTAAAAGGGAAATCCATCTAGACTTTTCACCCAGTTAAGACACTGAACTGACAAGGTAGTAACTAGGCCAATGAGTATTTTTCACCGACTAAAACAGTTTTGTAAGTTTTAGATGATGTTTTTTGATAGCAACTTCAACTTAGTGTGGCATTTTAGCACTTCTCATCTTAATAAGCCCAAGAGCCTGGAGTCTCCAGGATTTTGACCCTGCTCTGCTACCTGCAAGCAATGTGGCCTTAAACAAATCTTTAAGCAATTTTTCTTCAGCTGTGAGAAACCACCAATTTACATTATCTCACAGGCTTCTTCAATTAAGTGCTATACTAACAAAAGCTGTTATATCCGGGGTTGGGGATACAGCTTGCTTAGTGTTGAGAGCGCTTGCCTAAACAGGTGGTGCCACACGCCTTTGATCTGAGCGTTTGAGGGAGAGGCAGGGGGATCCAACCAGGACTATGCAGAGAAATCCTACCTCCAAAAACCAAAATTAAAAAAAAAGGGGGTGGGGGATGGGAGTGGGCACTTGGTTACCATGTCTAAGTTCCCTCGTAAGAATAGAAAAGATGGGATTTCTTTTCTTTTTCGAGACAGGGTTTCTCCGTGTAGCTTTTGGAGCCTATCCTGGAACTCACTCTGTAGAGCAGGCTGGCCTTGAACTCACAGAGATCCACCTGCCTCTGCCTCGAGTACTGGTATTAAAGGCCTGTGCCACCACCCAGCAAAGATGGGATTTCTGATGAACTGCCTGGTGTGGTGTCACTTTTAATCCCAGCACTCGGGAGGCAGAGCCAGGCGGATCTCTGTGAGTTCGAGGCCAGCCTGGTCTATAGAGTGAGATCCAGGAAAGGCGCAAAGCTACACAGAGAAACCCTGTCTCGAAAAACCAAAAACCAAAAAACCAAAAACAAAACAAAAAAAAAGGCTTTGAGTGTTGCCTTTAATCCTAGCATCTGGAGGAAGTGGATCTCTGTGAGTTCAAGGCCAGCATGGTCTACTTAGTTCCAGGACAATCAAAGCTAAATAATAGAGACCCTTTCTCAAAGTTTAGAGACAGCAATCCACAAAGTATTTTTTATAGACTAGAGGGTCATGCTAGAGAAAATAAGCTGTACTTCCCAAACTAAAGCTAGGTGTTTAAAAGCCACACTGACATTCTTACAGGTCCATTGCAAATGCAAAACCAAAACCAAACCACTTGCAATGCAGTGACATACACACCCCACTTTAAAAAAAAAAATAGCGAGAAAACCACAGAACCTCTAGCCATTATTTTAATAGCACCTTTTGGAAGTTTCCCAATTATCTAGGAAAATGACAAAAGCAAGCTGAATCCTGACACTCGAACTACCAAAAAGCCAACCAATGGACGCTGATCTTGTTCCCCACTCGTGCCTGGCATAGTCTGCATGGAGTAAATACTGTTGAATTAGAGTTGGAAAGAAAACCGCACAGGAGATAGGTGTCCGTCCCTACAGCTCCTCCCTAACACGTGGGCGCACACTAGGCTCCCTACCCCCAACGATAGTAGCACCAACCTCCCAACCTAGCATGCGTTCTCCTGGAGTACAGAGGCCGGGTCACACTCCAAGACCAACCAGAGCCTGAGGTACAAGGTCACAAACGAGCAAAGCCCAGGCCCATCAAAGCTTCCCATCTGGACGCGGGCGCACGCTTCCGAGGCGCGCCTTCTCCACCTCGCCTCGGCTCCCTTGTCGCGCAAGCGCACCCGCACCGCGGGCGCTCCTCCGCCCCTCCACCGACTCGCGCTCTAACTGCTCCCCCCACCCCCGGCCCCCGCTAGGGTCCGCAACGGCCTCGCGCCTCGGGGGACCCGGTCGCATGCGCTCCGGTCCGCGCGCCAACCGCCTCCTTCCGTCCTCCGCGCCGCGGCGCGGGCGCAGGGCTTCCCGTCTACGAGCGGGCCTCGCGCCTCCCGCACCTCTCCCCGCGCTACCTCCTCCGGTGGAAGCCGAAGTCCACCATTACTGCCCACTCCAACCTCGCGCAACCGGGTGGAAAGGGTGTGAGGGGGAGGGGAAGGGCCTTCCCCCTCCCCCTAGACATCCCGGGGCAGTAACCTAAAAGCGGCCGTGCCGCCAGCCCGCCGCAGCTCCCAGGCCCGAAAGGTGCCGGTGCCACCTGCCCCCCGACTCCAGCAAGGAGCGGATCAAGCCCGGAGGCTGTTTCGGAGCCTGGTCCCTGGCCACGCTCGGCCGCTCACTCACCTGAGGCCGCCATGTTGGGAGAGGGAGAGAGAACGCAAAGGACCCGGATGAGGCAATCACGTGATTATAGCGGGCGCGACGGGCTTGGAGACGCGAAACCAGGAGGGGGCGGGGAAGTGAGGACGGAGGCAGGAGGCGGGGCGCCGCCGCCGCCGCCGCCGCGGCCGCCGCGCTAGGTTCGTAAAGCAGCGCGAGGAGGTGGCGCGGCGTCCGGCCGGAAGACCTGCGCGACATGTGGCCGGAGGGGTGGAGTCTGAGCTGTCGCGAAACCCTACGCTTTACGTTGGGCCCGGCGCGGCCGTCGGGTCGGATGGGCGCCGGGGCGGGGTCTCCTGGCGCACGGACTTCTGGGTGGCAGGTCCCCCGCGAAGGGCGGGGCCGCGCTTGCTGGTTCCATGGAACCGGGTGGGCTTGGAATCTCGAATGGGTGTGCCACAATTGTTATTTTAGAGAAGATTCTGAGTGTGATTGATATATTGTGTACCCCAATACACTTATCTGGGGTCAGAGGAGCAGGACGAGCCATAGCCAACCTGGCCTGGACAGCTCCTCATCCGAGCCTGTTCCCGGGAATCCTCAGACTGAAAGCCTCTGAGTCCTCACCCGAATGGGTCTCAGCTGAACTGCTGCTAAAAGCGGAAAGGTTAAAAAGCCTGTAGTTCCTGGTCCTCACGCCTTATATACCTTTCTGCTTCCTGCCATCACTTCCTGGGATTAAAAGCGTGTACCATCATGCCTGGCTCTGTTTCCAGTGTGGCCTTGAACTCACGGAGATCCGGATGGATCTCTGCCTCTGGAATGCAAGGATTCAGGGTGTGTGCCACCACTGTCTGGCCTCTGTTTAATCTAGTGGCTGTTCTGTTCTCTGACCCCAGATAAGTTTTACTAGGGTGCACAATATATTGGGAGACACAATATATCACCACATCTGAGTTTTGGTTTTTTTGTTGTTGTTTGTTTTTGGGTTTTTGAGACAGGGTTTCTCTATGTAGCTTTGGAGCCTGTCCTGGAACTCACTCTGTAGCCCAGGCTGGCCTCGAACTCACAGAGAGATCCGCCTGGCTCTGCCTCCGAGTGCTGGGATTAAAGGCGTGCGCTGCTACCGCCCGGCATGTTTTGTGTTTTAAAAGAGGTGATCCATGGCTGGAGGAGGGTTAGCCTGTAACTCTAGCATTGTGGAAGGCAGAGACAATGGAGTTGCAGGGTTTACTGGCCAGCTGCCTAACACCAGGTTCAGTGAGAGATTGTTTTAAGGGAATGAGACAGGATACCTGGCATAGTCTCCTGGACTGCCGGGGTGGGCATCATCGGCACCTACATGGATGGGCACCCACACAGGTATGCCTCCCACAAAACAAAACAGAAACAAAAAAGCTGTGGACCCCGGGAATGTCTTCATAATACCTTTAGAAAACAGGATACAAAGGGTTGAAGATGTGGCTCAGTGGTAGAACACGGCCTAAAATGCAAGAAGCTCTGGGTTCAGTCTCTAGGACTACAGCAGCAGCAGATTGCACACTTCAGATCTGTGCTCTTTATTTAAGCCACACTTTAATTAGAAATAAGATTGCTCAGGACCAGTGAAATGGCTCAGCAAGTAAAGGTGCTTACCTCCAGGCCTGATGACCCAAGCTCATCCCCGGAGCCCACATGGTGGGGAGAGCGCTGACTTCTGTAAGTTGTCTTTGGACCTCCAGAAGTGTCCTGTGGTACAGGCATGCCTACACTCACACATGTCTCTCCCCCACAACACACACACACGCAGGTTACACAGACTATTGGGTAGGAGAATGACTATGTATGTGCAGTAATGGTAAAGGCCAATTAAAAGTTACTGCCGGGCTACATAGTGACTCATGGTGAGCTCTGGATACTTTTGCCTAGACTACAAAAACTCAATTTAAAAACCCCCAAGTTTTCATTATTAGTGCATGGGTGAGGCAGAGCAAACTTGTAGGGCTACACAGACTCAGCTTCTCAGACTTCCTTTCTTCTGTGCTTACAGGTCACCTGGGAGATTTGTTGGAAATCACCCTGACTAGTAGGACTGGAGTGATACTTGAGATTTTTTTTTTTTTTTTCTGTTGTGGACCAATAAAATGTAATGATCCTAGAGTTAAGGTGACCATTGAAATTAATTCCAGCACTTGGGAGGCAGAGGCACGGGGATCACTGAGTTTGGAGGTTAGCCTGGTCTACAGAGCTAGTTCTAGGATAGCCAGAGTTGCACAGAGATACCATGTTGGGGGAGGAACCCCCCCCAAACAAAACAAAACAACAAAATGACTTAAATTGAATTGAGAGTTAAGTTGTCCACTGGAGGCAGTGAATTTCAGAAAGTTCAGAGAAACACCAAATAAGAGAGATGAGTGGGGTAGGGAGATGTGCAGTTACTGAGCACCTATAATCTCCCAGTGTTAGGCCACTTAACATGGCTTATTTAATACTAACAGTGGTCCTAAGATGTTGATTATTAGTGACCTCGTTTTCCAGTTATGACCCAAAACTCAGAAGCAGTAATTACTTCACCCAAGCACACAACCGGCAAAGCAGCAGGGCCTCTCCTTGTCAGGTCAGTGTCTTCACGAGTTTTCACAGACTTTTTTTTTTTAAGGAAAGAAAACTAGGGCTGGAGAGTTGGCTTGGGGGTAAAGGGTACTGGCTGCTCCCGGTGAAGAGTCAGATTTGGTTCCCAGCACCCACATGGCAGTTTCCAACAATCAGAAACTCCAGTCCCAGGAGATCCAATGCCATCTGACCTGTGAGGGCACCAGACGTGCACATGGCACACATGTATACATACACATCATACATATCATACATACAATCTAAAGTTTTTAAATATTTAAATGTGTGTGTGTGTGTGCCTGAGTATATTGTGTATTTGCTCCATATTAGTGCAGGAGAGAACAAAATCATTTCTCAAGACTTGTTATCCACAGTGCCCCACATTCTCCTCTAGTTGTCTGTTGCTTTTCCGTGGTGTTTCTCATGCTGACCACTGTATTAGCCTCCTAACCAGGCGCCTTGCCTGCAGGCTCTATCTCCTGCAATGCATGTAGTCCATGGCGCCACATGTTTTCGTAAAGGAGAGATCTGAACAGCTGCTGAGAAATATGCCAAAATTTGACATGACCTAAATAGACTTTTTTTTTGAGTGTGTGTGTATGAGAGAGAGAGAGAGAGAGAGAGAGAGAGAGAGAGAGAGAGAGAGAGAGAGAGAGAGAGATGAGGTCTCTCTATTTTGTATCTTTGGATGTTCTGGACCTTACTACGTAGACCAGGCTGGCCTTGAACCCAGAGATCGACCTCCTTCTGCCTTCTGAGTGCTCGATTAAAGCTAAATATAGACCTTTAAGGCTGTGTTTACCCCAGTCCCCAGTCACTAGTCCAAACTGACTTCCGTCCATCCTCCCTTGACTCCTCGCTCCCTCCCTCCCCCCTTCTTCCTCCTCCTCCTCTCTCTCTCTCTCTCTCTCTCTCTCTCTCTCTTTTTGTTGTTTTTGAGAAAAGATCTCACTATGTAGCCCCAGCTAGCATAGAACTTGCTCTGTAGACCAGGCTGACCTGGAACTCAGCGATCCTCCTGCCTCTGTCTTCTAAGCATTGGGATTAAAGGAGTATGCAACACTACATCTAGCTCTTTCTTTAAAAAAAAAAAAATTTTTGTTTTATTTTATGTATATGAGTGTTTTGCTTGTGTATATGTTAAGTGCTCTGAGTGCATGCCTGGTGCCCATGGAGGTCAGAAGAGGGCACCAGATCCCCTGGAACTGGACTTAGAGGCTGTTTTAAGCTGCCCTGGGGAAGTTGGAAACAGAACCTGTGTCTTCTGCAAAAGCAGTAAGTACTCATAACTTCTGAGCTATCTCCAGTCCCATCTCTTCACCCTTTTTTTTTTTGTCATTAGTTTGGGCATCATCAGTTTATTATAAAAGGGAGGCATGGAAATTATTTACATGATGAATAGTTCAGACCGTCAGCGGAATGGGCAGCTTCATGTGACACCATTTCAACAGTGATTTCATTCCACATACTTTCCAAGAATGTCACCATCTCTAAATAAGAAGTAATCCTTGTCGTCTAGAACTACTTTGGTGCCTCCATATTCTGGGAGAAGAACTTTGTCTCCGACTTTCACACTGACTGGCTGAATCTCTCCACCCTTGCCTTTGGCGCCTGATCCCACAGCCACTACTGTGGCTTGCAATACTTTTCCTTGAGACTTTTCCGGAAGCATGATGCCACCTTTGGTCACGGTTTCGGCGGCACTCCTTTCAACCAGTACTCTGTCAAAGAGCGGGAGAAACTTTCTGAAAGCCTGTCCAGCCATGACTAGTGCCGCCGCAGCTCCGACTCTGCACCCGCGGCCGCCGCTGCAAGGAGAGTTTTTTTAAAGACAGTGGCTGTCTGCAATCCTGGAACTCACTCTGTAGCCCAGGCTGACCTTGAACTCACAGAGATTCTCTCTTGCCTCTGCCTCCTGAGTGCTGGGATTAAAGGTGTGGATATCATGTGGACTACCACACCTGGCTGAATTTGTGGTCCTCTAATCTAGCTTCCCAAGTAGTCAACTTTTCTTTCGTTTTTCTTCTTTTTTTTTTTTGGTTTTTCGAGACAGGGTTTCTCTGTGTAGCTTTGCGCCTTTCCTGGAACTCACTTGGTAGTCCAGGCTGGCCTCGAACTCACAGAGATCCGCCTGGCTCTGCCTCCCCAGTGCTGGGACTAAAGGCGTGCGCCACCACCGCCCGGCTCGTTTTTCTTCTAAGACTGGCTTTGAACTCCTGATTTTCCTGCCTCTACCTCCTATGTGCTAGTGCTGGAATCCTGGGATTCCAGGCATGTATCATCATGCTAGAAAAAAAACTGTTTACTTGTTTATTATGTGTGTGGGAGAGTGCTCCTGCTACCGCACACCTGTGGAAGACATGATAACCTGTGTGAGAGCCAGGGACGGAGCTCAGACCATTTGTGAGAGCCAGGGACGGAGCTCAGACCATTGGTGGCACCTTTATCCTTGGAACCATCGTGCTGCCCAGATCTTCCTTCCTCTCTCTGTCTTCCAAGATTTTCCTTTCTTTTTTCTTTCAAGTTTTCTTTAAATGTGTTTGAATGTGTGCATGTATGTATGTGTACCACATGTGTGTCTTGTGACCGAGTAGGCTAGAAGAGGGTGCAGGATTCCCCCAACCCCAAACTGTTGACACAGGCAACTATAATTGTAAGCTGCTATGTGGTTGCTAACAACCAAACCTAAGAGCAAGTGCTCTTAACCACTGAGCCGTGCTCCAACCCTCCCAGATTTTCTTTTTATAATTAACTTGTATAAAAATGTATGTTTATAGGCCAGGTGGTGGTGGCGCATGCCTTTAGTCCCAGCACTCGGAAGGAAGAGGCAGGCGGATCTCTGTGAGTTTGAGGCCAGCCTGGGCTACAGAGTGAGTTCCAGGAAAGGCACAAAGCTACACAGAGAAACCCTGTCTCAAAAAACCAAAAAAAAGAAAAATTACGTTTATTTCTAAAATTACATAACTATGCTTGGCAGTTTAACACATTTTAAATCTTAATTGCTTTAGTTAATACATTTTAGTTAGAACTTTTAATCTTTTCTGAGCCTTAGAATTTTAGTCTAAAACAAGATTATTACATTGTGTGCTATGTCATTTTATGAGTATGTGATGGTAATTACAGACATTGTCATATTCCTAGTAAAACTGGCTAAGGTGTTCCTCACCTGACAGGATTAAGCTGGCCCAGAGATGGATGGAATGTTACAAGCCAGTTACTTCTGCTTTGTTAAGCTTTAGTAACTAATACTGTGGGATGGTCTGTATGTCAAGTGTGTTGCTGATTGGTCAATAAATAAATCACTGATTGGCCATTGGCTAGGCAGGAAGTATAGGCGGGACAAGGAGGAGAATAAAGCTGGGAAGTGGAAGGCTGAGTCAGAGAGACACTGCCAGCCGCCACGATGACAAACAGCATGTGAAGATGCTGGTAAGCCACGAGCCACGTGGCAAGGTATAGATTTATAGAAATGGATTAATTTAAGCTGTAAGAACAGTTAGCAAGAAGCCTGCCACGGCCATACAGTTTGTAAGCATTATAAGTCTCTGTGTTTGCTTGGTTGGGTCTGAGTGGCTGTGGGACTGGCAGGTGAGAGAGATTTGCCCTGACTGTGGGCCAGGCAGGAAAACTCAAGCAACGAATGGCGTCCAACGTGGTGGCAAGAGTTTCCACCTAAAAACTGAGAAAAGATTCTAAAACAGAGCTAAAAACAGCTTCCTAATTGTCTCTCTCAAATGAGCAACAGCTGCCGGTTTGAGCTACTTGTGGGTTCCTAGCGTGCTCGCTCGACCCGCAGTATGGCGGGAATGAGGCCTCTGCAAGTGGCACATTAAGCTGTGTGGTGGATTTAGCCTTTGCTAGTACAAAACAAAAAAAGAGGTTTCTGGGCTACACGCTAATTGGCTAAAAGCATAGACCCACGATAGCTCCCAGAGCTGGCAGTAAACCACCGCCATGTTGGGAAGCTGAGGTGGGCAGAGCCAGCAGTCAGAGCTGCTGCAGTTTAAAGCAACAGATTCACAATAAGACAGATTCAGATGTAATAGTTTAAATGTGTGTAAAATATACATAGGCTTGAAAGAGACAAAAAAGGTGATATATACAGTTATAGAAACAAATACATAGTTTTAAAATATAAAGTCTTTAAAGAGACAGTAAATAATATAAAATTAATATAAAAAATAAGCCATGTGAAGATAAATATTACACAGAGAATCTGGATTGTGTTGTCTTTGGGATTTTTAACTGCAGAAAAACATTTGATTGTAAAAACTGTTGAGTTATGCCAAAATGTATATTTTAAAGGTACCTTGACTTCAAAATTTGGATATAAGGATATGTTGCTTTGGAAAGGAGACTCTGCTTTTGTTCCCACAGAAAGCCAGAGGCTATGGATTTGTTCCAGATTAAGATACATCAGGTTTGACCAGCCAAGACCCACTGAAAGGTCTCCGATGACACCATGGCCCAGATGATCCAACATCCAGAATGGTTTCAAGGCAACTGGCTCAGACGATACAGCCTCATGGACTATTCCATAATCTTAAAATTTTCTTTGTGTCCCTATAAGATATAGCACCTCCCTCCAGCAGGAAGTAGTAAGAGAAGCTACGCCCAAATTCCCAATTATATGTAATTTTACTTTGTTAAGGTTAAAACCTTCCTTTTTGAAAAAAAAAAGGGGGGGGAAGTGCTGTGGGATGGTCTGTATGTCAAGTGTGTTGCTGATTGGTCAATAAATAAATCACTGATTGGCCAGTGGCCAGGCAGGAAGTATAGGCAGAACAAGGAGGAGAATAAAGCTGGGAAGTGGAAGGCTGAGTCAGAGAGACACTGCCAGCCATCACAATGAGAAACAGCATGTGAAGATGCTGGTAAGCCACGAGCCACATGGCAAGGTATAGATTTATAGAAATGGATTAATTTAAGCTGTAAGAACAGTTAGCAAGAAGCCTGCCACGGCCATAAAGTTTGTAAGCAATATAAGTCTCTGTGTTTGCTTGGTTGGGTCTGAGTGACTGTGGGACTGGCAGGTGAGAGAGATTTGCCCTGACTGTGGGCCAGGCAGGAAAACTCAAGCAACAAACTAAGTAATTTCTTATTGTTTTCTGCTTTGCTTCCCCATGGGACAAGCAAAATTATGTCACTGATTTCATCATGCACATGTCTCAAAGTAAAACTCCTTTATAGAATTCTGTTGTTCTCTTTGACACCGGGTCTCACTGTGTAGCCCTGGCTGTCCTGGAACTCACTATGTAGACCAGGCTGGTCTCAGACTTAGAGATCCACCTGCCTCTGCCTCCTGAGTGCTGGGATTAAAGGTGTGTGTATCAGGCTTTCTTTGGGGCCACCAACCAGCTCCCAAATAAAGACGTGGAGACTCATTATCATTTATGAGTGCTCTGCCTTAGCTTATGCTTGTCCCACTAGCTCGTAGAACTTTATTTACTCTGTTTCTCTTCATCTATGTTTTGTCTCAGGGCTTTTTACCTTTTTTTCATTCTGTATGTCCTACTTTTCCTGCTTCCTCCGTGTCTGGCTGGTCCCAGGCATTTTCCTCTCTTTCTCCCTCTTTCTCTCTCTCTCTTTCCTAGATTCCTCCTACTATTCATTTTCTCTGTACACTAGCCCACCTATCCCTCTACTACTTAGCTATTGGCTGTTCAGCTTTTTATTAGACTAATCACAGGTGCCTTAGGCAGGCAGAGCAGCACATCTTTTCATAACTGAACAAATGCAGCATAAACAAATGTAGCACACCTTTATGTAAGACGAATCTTAAAAGGTCTTATTAATTGGTCAGGCAGTGGTGGCACACGCCTTTAATCCCAGCACTCGGGAGGCAGAGCCAGGCGGATCTCTGTGAGTTCGAGGCCAGCCTGGTCTCCAAAGAGAGTTCCAGGAAAGTCGCAAAGCTACACAGAGAAACCCTGTCTCGAAAAACAAAACAAAACAGAACAGAACAACAACAACAAAAAGGTCTTATTAATTAAAACAAAACAAAACAAAACAAACAAAAAACCTGGTGCCAGATATTGGGGTGAATTCTGAAAGATCAGAGAAGCAGAACAAGCCACAACCAAACTCACCTCGACAGCTCCTCATCCGATCCTGTTTCCACGAATCCTTAGACTGAAAGCTTCTGAGTCCTCACTGGAATGGAATGATCTCAAGCTAAACTGTTGCTAAAAGCCTAAAAGCTTAAAAAGCCTCTAGTTCCTGCTCCTTATGCCTTATATACCTTTCTGCTTCCTGCCATCACTTCCTGGGATTTTAGGCATGTACCTTTCCCAAGCAGACATGAGATCTCCAGTGCTGAGATTAATGATATGTGCCACCACGCCTGGCTCTGTTCCCAGTGTGGCCTTGCACTCAGAGATCCAGACACATCTCTGCCTCCCTTGTGTGCCACCACTGTCTGGCCTCTGTGTCTAATATAGTGGGTGTACTGTCCTCTGACCCCAGATAAGTTTATTAGAGTGCACAATTTATCAACCACATCTTTACATAGTTAAAGTAATATTCCATAACAGGTGTGTTCCATCACTCCCAGTTTTTGCTGAATTTTGAATGTGTAAGGTTAAATTTTAGGTATATATCAGGATTATATAGGAGTGAGTTCTAATTCTGGGATTGTAAGTGAGTTCCTACTAGATTGAACCCCACCCAAATTGATAACATCAATAAATCTGCCCCCCTTCTCTCTGTGTCTCTCTGTCTCTTTCTCTCTCTCAGTGTGTGTGTGTGTGTGTGTGTGTGTGTGTGTGTGTGTGTGTGTGTGTGTGTAGTGTCTCTCTGTCTCTTTCTCTCTCTCAGTGTGTGTGTGTGTGTGTGTGTGTGTGTGTGTGTGTGTGTAAATGGTGGTACTGGAGATTTAATCTAGGGCCCCTCACAGTGGGCAAGTACTTTCACTCTATGTCCTAGAACTCACCCTGTAGACCAGGCTGACCTCAAACTCACAGAGATCTGCCTGCCTCTGCCTCCTGAGTGCTGTGGAATAATCCTCTGTGCACTATAAAGATT